CTCGTTGCTACCGCTGCCGCTGCTCTCAGTCAGTAGCCTCAGTCTTCCTCTTACTCACACTCTTCTTACTTCAATAGTATACTGTTATCAATATATTAACAATATGCTACTAACCAAGGTTCGTCGTACCGTACCGTACAGGCGTTTCGACCCGAGCTCGGTACGGTACGGTACGGTACCGGTGTACCGGGCGGTACATCAGGGTGTACCGAACAATTTTATACTTTTTTCATACTGTAGCACTGTAGCGGTATCGGGCGATCCGCATACCGGTAACCTATCGGATCGGTACGTACCGCCGGGTACGGATGGTACGCTTCGGTATGATAGATCTTGCTACTAACTATATACTAGTAATAGTATTTTTATTTATTAGATTAATAATATATTATTTTGATTTTAATACTATTAATTTTTATTTATTTAAAATTATTATTAGGTTTCAGAATAAATGATATATTTTTATTTAAATAAATATATTTATTAAATTATATTATATATTTTTATATTTTAGCGTCTCGCTTCACTCAGACGAACGCCTAGCACCTCGGACGTTTTTGGACCTTAGCACCTTTTGGCACCTAGCGCCTTTTCAATCAATGCTTGTAACAAAATTGCAAACTCTCTTTAATGCATCTCAACTCCCAAAGCTTTGACAACAAGTTGACAACAACTTATAGCTAAACAATGAAAAACAAGACCAAGTTTATATACCATTTATGCCCTCCATTCCAGCTTTGACAATAGGCCGAGCACTTGAGTAGCTGCGGAAGGACCAAAAACTCTTATCTACAAAACATAAATAAATGTTACACAATGGCACTTCCCGTGATTCACCATCCAAATTCGAGCAATCAACAATCCAAATAACATAATTAATCAAATTAAAGCCCCATGCCCCCACCATCCAAACCCTAATTGAGATTTCCCAAGAGGATCCGCCACGATGAACCTCACGAGAAACATAGAAGAAAAGGCGTAATCCAAATAGAACCGAGAATCCACGCAGAACAAATACAACCCTGAGCAATTAAACGGAAATCGAGACGAGCTCCATAGCAAAAGAAACAAGAGCATATCAATGCGTCGCAATAGGAACGGGGTAGGAGAAAGGAGTGGAGGCAAACCTGGGGGCAGGGCCCGACGACGGGATCGATCGCCTGAGGAGCAAAGGTAGGGGTTTTCGACGAGCGGGACAACTGGGTGGGACGAGTGAAGCTCCGTCTCTCGATCTCGTCTTCCTCGCCCGCTCCTATTTCGCTGTTGGTGGCGACGCACGGACGTGAGGGGATCATTAAATCGCAACTACAGAGAGAACGGCGGCGGCTGCAACCCCACCCGGATCCGACGGCTCCGGAGGCCACTCCCCGAATCCGATATCAACCGCGTCACTAAGCATGAGACGCCCTCGCCATATCACCCCCGGAGGCAGGGAGAGTGAGAGAGAGAGACGGTGGAAATGGCGGATTCTTACTTGGCTCTTCGGTCCCGGCCGTCACTGCTCCTTGTCCTCCTCGTTCTACTCTGCTTCTCTC